TATGCATTTTGCCTCAGTATCTCTGAGAAGTCACACAGAAGATATTACTGGAAATCAAAACTCAACAGAAGCTTCCTGAGCCCAGATTCCTCATTTCTGCAAAAAGAATCACCAATATTCCCCATGTGAGATGAAGAATACCTTATCTAGCTCATAATGGACCAGACGTCAAGTAATTCACTTATGTTTGACCTTAGACCACTCTTGAAGAAAAGAAGCATATATTCTAACATAACAAAACTCAAGAATTGAGTTACTTTGGTAGAACAATACATTTTCAGCCAACAACAGAAATGAAAAGACTATTATTTCATCAAGTTTACTCATAGAAAAACAAAGAGAGTTTATTTCAACATTTCTATGTATTTCTAGGTTATATCTTTCATCTGACTTGTTGGTAGAAAGTTAAATGGAGGGAAATGAAAGCTGCATTAATAAAGAATAACACTAATAATAATTGCTTATTATTACTACAGCCATAAGATCTTACCAGTAATGGCATAGTAACCTCCATGGGCTAGTGATTGCCCCTGAATAAGGAAGGGATTGCACTTGTTTCTGAACCCAGGTCTCACCTGAACCATTGTGATCTTGCCTATGTAGGCACTCTTTATGCCTGCTGAATTCAATTGTAAACTCCACCGTGAGAGCAAGATTGCCTCTGAGTTCCAATTAAACTGTGGCTGATACATTCCTGGAATCCTCTGAACTGTTTGTCAAAATCTGATCTAATAGGACCTCACTGTCCTTCGATAGCCCTCCATCTGTCTACTGCTAGAGAAATAATTAAAAGTAAAATCTGCTATGTTGCCAACCTCTCCATAAAGGTGGTAGAGAGAAAAACCAAAACACAGTTTTATTCTTGAAAAAGCATTGAGCCAAAGCCAAAGTAGAAATATCAGATGACCTAGCAGACAGCAAAGGCAGAAAAAGAAATGTCACCCTCTATACCAAAACACAAGCATATTCCAGTGAGTTTCAAGAAGATTCAACAGTGCTATTTGGTAAATGCAGTTCCTCTAAATTTTACCTGGCAACTGTGAAGGTTGGTACTGATTTTCTATATACAGAGAAACAATAAAGCCTCCTATCTACAGGACAAGGCATTTTATAACTTGGAACAGGATTCCTATGTAGAGTCCCATCCTCCTACCAGGATGGGAGCCTGAGGTCCTTGGTTGTTTACATTTCAAAGATAAAGCTCTCAGGTCCTTAGGGAAACCTTTCCTGGATAATAAAGGAGCAAGAATCTGAGGTAACTTTATGTGTGCACAGTTCAAAGATAATGAGAAGAATGTATAAGTATTAATATGTTTTCTCCTAGACCCATGCCATCAGGGCCAGCTCTCCCACATTTGTGGTGAGGGGTGGCACCATCTCTCCCAGTGCTGGGGTCATCTCTCCCATAGGGGAGAGAGGCTCCAACTCCCCTGTGGCAGTGCCCAGTGAGGAACAGGGCTAGCTACTCCAGGGCCAGTGAGGGAGAAAGCTGGCTCAACATGACCCTGGGATGACTCTCGTTCTCATCTGAGAGCTGGTCCCAGAGGTCAGGACCGACAATCTCAGCTACCATCCAGAACCACAAGTTGGGCCTTGGGTTGACCCTCCCTAACAGCTGCCTCTGCTGGAGTGCATGAAGGGGCTGGTCCCGCAGAATAACTGCAGGATCTCCATGACTTGGGGCAACAACAGGATTTCAGAGAGGAGTTTCCATGACAGAGAAGTAATGATGCTGTACCAGAATCCAGAGGCCTTAACCATGCCAATGATTCATTGCAGTGAGCATTTTGCTAGAGGGGGGGCTGATTGGACAAAAGGGGTATACTGCGTGATAACTCCTGATGCCACTAGGATGAAAGAAGAAGTGTTTGAAAGATGGAGGATCTCCCATCCAAGAACTCTACCTCAAAAGACCCAGCAATACCACTTTAGGGTATATACCCAAAGGAAGCTCATTCATACCACAAGGACATGTGCTCAACTATGTTCACAGCAGCATTGTTTGTAATAGCCAGAACTTGAAAACAACCTAGATTCCCCTCAATCGAAGAATGGATAAAGAAAATGTGGTAAAATGGAGTACTACACAACAGTAGTACAATGGCATCTTGAAATTTGCAGGCAAATGGATGGATCAAGGAAAAACCATATTGAGTGAGGCAACCCAGACCCAGAAAGACAAATATAATATGTATTTATTCATAAGTGGCTTTTTAACATAGAACAAAGTAAAACCAGCCTACAATCCACAACCCTAAAGAACCTAGACAACAAAGAGGACGCTAAGAGAGACATATAGGAATCTAAATAGGAAGAGAAAAAAGACAAGATCTCCTGAGTAAGTTGGGAGTGTAGGGGTCACAGGAAAGGTAGAATGGGAGTGGAGAGGAAGGGAGAGGAGTGAAGAAAAATGTATAGTACTATAAAAACAATAAAAAAAGAATGTTCTCAGAAGCCGATTTATGAAAATTTCCAGTCACCAGACAAAAAACTGCAAGTGGCAGATTGCCACCTCCCAGTCAATGGAGCTAACTAGTAGGCACTTCCAAAGAATAAAGGGATGTTCTTTTAAAACAAAGAAAGGAAAGAAGGAAGGGAGGGAGAGAGGGAGGGAGGGAGGGAAGGAAGGAAGGAAGGAAGGAAGGAAGGAAGGAAGGAAGGAAGGAAGAATCTAGGTGGGCTTTTGTTTGGCTTGGCTTGCTCTAATTTATTTGGGGGGAATACCAAATACCTCAGGGTTAGGGGAGGATGTGGAGGGACTGGGAGGTGCGTGGGATTGGTTTTTAAACATAAAGCAAAGAAAACTAGCCCACAAATCACAATCTTAAAGAACCTAGACAACAATGAGGACCCTAAGAGAGACATACATAGATCTAATCTACATGGAAAGTAGAAAAAGACAAGATCTCCTGAGAAAATTGGGAGCATGGGGATCTTGGGAGAGGGTTGAAGGGGAGAGGAGAGGCAGGAAGGGGAGCAGAGAAAAATGTAAAGCTCAATTAAAATCAATTAAAAAATTCCAAAGAATCAATAAAGAATTATGCCTATTTAAAAAAAAAGAATGTGTTTTTCTAAAGGAATTGTTTAAGAAAATGAGAGAAATACACCACCAACACCAACACCAGCATCAAGGACTTTTTAAAATCCCTTTTGGATGTGTGTTTACAGGTTTCCTGGAGAGTCAGGATATGTCTAAGTACCTACCTCCATAACTATGAAGCATCCCTTACTATTGGGAGACTTCAAAGGATACCTCAGAACTTGAGTGAGGATACAGGGAAATGCTGATTTCTTGAGACATGGCTTTTCAAACCAAGATCCTGAGGAAAGAGCTAAACCGGGAGGGAACTTTGGGATGACCAGTTTAGAACAACGCTGATTCTCACATGAGCCTGACCAGGCATGGTGACATCAGGAAAAGCCTCCGGTCTGGACCACTCTGAAGTGTCTTCGAGTTCTGCTAGGCTCCTCAAAGATGAGACTATAGTAAGGAAGCATGGTGGCACTAGTCCCAAGCCAATCATTTCCTACAATAAAGAAGCATGATGGCACTAGTCCTAAACCAATCATTTCCTACAGTAAGGAAACATGGAAGCACTAGTTCCAAGCCAATCATTTCCTACCACAGCCTTTCTCCCTGACCCTGATTTTGCTTTCCATTCATTACAGAGTGAGTCACTAAATTATGCACAATAATCTCTCTGGTACAGTAAATCAGAGCACAATTGCCTCAACTTCCTTGGCATTTGATTAAAGCATCTAATATTAAGAAATGGCAATGCCTTCTTCAGAGGGAAATTGAAAAAGAAGGATGTAAATTAGGAATGAAAACAACAATGGAAAGGAACAGGGAACCTTTAGGAGTCGCAAGCACAAAAAAAATAGAAATTAATATATTTAAAATTATCTCAAAACATAAAAGGGGGAAATTTATCATCACCACAGAAAGACAGATGTTATTGACAGGCTAAATTGCCTGCTCTGAACATTTTCCATTTAAATTTTTCTTCTACTTTGCTGGACTTTTATCATAAATACACTTATTATTGTACTGGAAACATTTTTTTTGGTACCAGAAAAATTCATGAGTTGTTAGCCAACACTTTATCACAAATTATCCACATGCTAGGAACTTACTAACAAAGAAATCTTTATTGTCTTGAATAGTTTCTCTCAGTTGGGAACTGGAAAAGGTTTCCTTGGGTTCTGTTTCAGTGTCTCCTTAGGTTACCATCAAGATGTCTGGGACTGTGGTCACCTAGAAGGCTTGAGTATCTGCCTCCAAGACAGGTCTCTCACAAGAGTGTTGGAAGGGTCATTGTTTTCTGCTGGCAAGAAGTCTCAGTTCATCAGAAGAAGAGATTTTTCATGGTGCTTCCTTCACATCTTGGCACTGCCTGAGCCACTGATCCCAGAGAGAGTAGGATACAAAATGGCATTGCCTTTTATTGCCTCTTTTCTGTAACCTTCTGGTTCCGTACTCTATGTGTGAGGATACAACACACATCATTTGCAGTAACAGCAACACTATGGGACACCTCTGGGACTACTTGCCACGATGTAAACCTTTATCATCAGTATGAATTTGATCATTGAGTTCCCTATAATCGTATTAGCTACTTATACAAGTTTAGAGGTCATTTCCAGTATTTCATTACCTAGCACCTTTGCATATTAAGCTTTTAATCATTAATTCAGATGTTTTTCTTAGGTTAATTTCAGAGATGATGTTATTAAATTAAAACAATCATAGATTCTTTATTATATTTCCTTCCTGAAGTAAATTGATATATTTGTTATCTATGCAACTTTTGTATTTCCTGTCCTGTGTTCGTGACAAACATTTTAAACTGTCTATGCAATGATTCAGAGTGCATATTCATAATTTTCAACTGATGAATTTTTATCAAATATCTTTTAGGTACGTATTCTATATTATATACGAAGTTTTGATACTTATAGCCTGTGGGTGTTTTCATTGTTATTTAACCATTTTGTAGATCCTCCTGAGTTTGTTTGTTGCTGTTATTTTGGACAACTTAGAACTTGATGAAGATCTAAAGAAGCTCAAACAAGTAAGTGATATTAAAAAAAGTAAGGGCACTTAAAGTAATGTTGGTGTGTGGACTTTCAAAGCAAAGAAATAATTGAAAATTTTGAGGCAGTCTGAGCTAATAAACTGATGTGTTGTTGTTTTATCTCCTATCTAAAGTCAGGGGGTGTTTTCCTATTACTCTACAAATATCTTAAGGCTACTTTCATATTACTGTGAGTAAAAGTAAGATGTTCACAGTTTAATAAACTGAATTTTGAGATCACTTTTTTTCTATTAATTGAAGGTTGTTTTGAAATCAAATTCCCCAGGGCCATACTGTTGTATTGAGCAAGTATATGCAATGCTCTTGGTGTTTGTCATAAAAGTATTAAAAAGTAACTGTCAGACTTACAGACACTAGAAGAGTATCTAGTCTGGATGTCCAAAGTGATTGTTCAAAATTAAACAAGATAAAAGATCAAATATGCATCTTGTTATTCTTGAAATCAGACTCTATTAGGGTAGGGAAAATAGTATCAAAAAATGGAAATGGATGTTTATAAAGTTATATTATCCATGACAGACAACTGGCAAGTTGAATCAGCTGACTAGCTCCATAGTTCTCTTGTATGGAGCAGTATCTGCAGTTGGCTGGAGTGTTTGGCTTTATTGAAAAATAAGAGGATGGGAGACATTAGGAGATTTTCTTGGCCACACTCACACATTGTACAATCAGTTAAGAGGTTAACAAGAATGTAGTAAGAAACCACTTGTTTGTTTCCCGGATGCCCAGACTCTCAAAATAATCACACAGAAACTTTATTATTTGCAATACTGTTTGACCAATAGCTTAAGTATATTTCTGGCTTACTCTTATATCTTAAATTCACCCATTTCTATCACCACGTGGCTGTGGCTTACCAGGTAAAGTTCTGTCCAGTGTGTGTGTCTGGTGGAGCTAAATGGCTTCTCCCTGACTCCTTCTTTCTCCCAGCATTCAGTTTAGTTTGCCTGCCTAGCTCTATTTTGCTAAGTCACTGGCCAAAGCAGCTTTATTCATTATCCAATAAAAGCAACACATGTGCATAAGGACTTCTCACATCGCAAGACTACCCAATACTCTAAAGTAAGCCTTTGGAATTATGTGAAGGGTCTCACATATTCAGATTTTTCAAAACTTGTCTATTCTGCAAAAGATAAAACAACATAACCTATAAGTTTATATTTTTTAATTTTAATGGTCCCTTTAAACTTTACATTGCATTATTCTCCTCTTCAAAGCCACTGATTTCACCAAGGTTATCCATAGGGGCTGAAAAGCATGTTTGATATCAAGACTCCTGCTCTGAGCATACTCTGGAAGGCTTTAAGCTCCATAGTGCCCTGAACTATGCAGGCAAATGGCTCTGTGGTCAAGGTCATTTCTTTTTGCTTTTTCTACTTTGTGGCTTAGGGAAAGGACTCTTCAGGTGAGAGTTGGGATGTTATTCTATGCTGGTGGTGTGAAATGTTTAACTTGACTCCTTGGTAGAAAAATATACAATGTGTGAGCTCAGCATCAAAACTGATCAGCTGTATAATTTGACAAGACCAATAAAAATGTGCTGCTTTCCAAATCTGGCATTTATATGTGGATTTTTATGTGTGTCGTATTTATCATTCATAGATCTTGAATATATTGTATATACTTCCATCAAAATTGAATACACAAAAATGAAAAGCATTCAATTTTCTCTAACTGATCCTACTACAAGATTCAGTGTGGTATTAAGCAACCACTGAATATATAAAATACCAAGTCTACATTTGCAAAATATTCTTTCTGCTAGAAGGCAGTAAAAAAATTACACATAGCAAATTTTTGGAGCCCATGAATGCAAACCTAAATAAATTTTACAGTGACTATGTTTTGAGTGTTTAAGTTTGTACATATATGTTCGATCTATTTAATTTTCTTTTAAACATTTGTATATCCAATAGACAGTCACTTTGGGCTTTTTTCTCATTTATTTTATATAACCGATAATGGAAAACCAACAATCAAAAAAATCATGAGACCTGGAAGAGGTTCAGTTAGTAAACTACTTCTCATGCAAGTGTAAGCAATGAGGTCAGTCAGATCCCAGGCACTCGAGTAAAGGGCTGTGTGTGGTGTGCATCTTTAATTCCAGCACTGGCAGGGAAAAGGTAATTGTTCTGACTACCCAGTCAATCCAGACAGCTTAGTGAACTTTGGTTTAGTTACTGACCTTATATCAAAATTAAGGTAGATAAAAAAGGAGGAAAACATCTAAGCCTTCATGTGAATGTGCCCACATGTTCACATATACTCAACACATATGCACATATGTGCTCATGCATGCGCACGCACACACACATAACTACTTGCTATCTCATTTTCTTCACTCTTTTAAATTTGTTTTTGTTTTTAGAAATTCTATATATCAGATTGATTATTCCATTGTAGTTACATCCAATTTGGAGTGTTTTCCTTGAAGATTTAAAGACATTTTCAGCTCTGAAAATGTCAAGAAAAATAGTGATCCCATTTTCAGTAGTCCTTTTAGGCTATTATTCATTCATGACTGGACTGAAACTACATATTTAATTAATCCATCTATTAATTTCATACCCCAAATCACTTCAATTTTGTATTTGAAATCAACTGGAGCAAAAAGTATCAGTCTAAATTAAAATGTGACTGGTTCTCTTTTTTCCCTTTTTACATAAGAATATGTTTGTGTTTTCACTAGTTTGGAAAACCGTATCCTTTGGATGGGACTAGAGAGGTTGCTGTTTTTACAGAGGCCCCAAGTTCCACATAGCAGCTCACAAACACCTGTAACTCCAGGTCCAAGGGATTCAACCCATCTTTCTCTCCCTTGAAGACTCCTGTAAATATGTGGTGTTCATAAACTCACAAAGGTTCACACACGTACACACACACTCACACACACTCACCTGAAATAATAAAATAATATATAAGTAAGTATTTTTTAAATTGTATCATTTTTAAATATTCATTGTTTTCCATTTTCCAATGATCTTAACCTTTGAGGTTGCATAGTTTGTGGGAAATACTACACCATGGTTATGCATATGCAAGCATGCACTTACTTACACATGTTCATAATCACAGATGGGAGGCATCTGAAAATCTCCAGTCTCTAACAGATGTTTTGGACTAGTCAATAAAATTACCCCATAAAATATTTACTAGATTTCTATATACAGAGATCTGGCTTTTACCATCTATTTTTACTGCTGTCCCCAGATAGAGTGTGGAATAGAAAAGATATGTGAAAAGTTTGCTCCCCTAACATTTCAAGTTACAGAAAGCATTGCACATTTTAATTCTTTGCTCTGTTGACACTTTTGTTTTAATATTTTTTACTGTTTATAACCAGCCTATTGATTCTTGCTAATGTGGTAATAGTTGTTGACTGTCTACTCACTGTCAAATGCCAAATAACTTCACTTACTGCTCAAAATAGCCCCTCAGTGCAGATATTATTAAATTCATCTAACAGACAAGGGAAAAGGAAATAAAGAACTAAAGGTTGAACAATCAACAAATGTTAAAGCTAAGATTGAAACCATTGCAGTTTGGACCAAAAGCTTATACCCTAAATATCTAAACTATATTGATTCAAGCTGATGCCCTATAAACGCCAAATGTGAGACATTTGATGAATCTATTCATAAGACTTTTAAATTTCATATGTGGTATTACTGATAATTAACCACAATTATAATTGCTTTCTTTATATTTATATAATTTTTATTGTATGTATATTAAATTTCTACATAAAATTTTAAGATGAAGTTGTTTAAATGTGATCATGGTGATTTGCAGAAAAGACAAGTATGTATGTGTGTGTGTATTTATTATATGTGTGTATGTATATGTGTGTATGTATGTTTGGATGTATTTCTCTGTGTGTGTGTGTGTGTGTGTGTGTGTGTGTGTGAGAGAGAGAGAGAGAGAGAGAGAGAGAGAGAGAGAGAGAACAAGTCAGAAGACACAGAAACATAAAGTAAAGGACCAAACTGTTCCTTGGCATTCAGTAAGGAGAGGGCACCTTGAAGCTCAGTGGTATAGTAATAAGAAAGATAAAGGGGTTTGAGGTGGAGAGGAAACTTTGAAAATTACAAAGAAACCCAACAGCTTTAATGATTTTACACAAAGTCAGAGCAAGAGCAATATAAAGGGTGTTCTTTTAAGTAATATAAAATTCATTAAACTATGCGGAAAAAATCTAAAGAAGCCTCAGGGAAAGAATCTTGGGAAACAGAAGTAGATAGTCTGCTTAGATTAAATTCAAAGCTATGAAATTTTTTTAAAAAATGCTCTTCAGCTCCAGATTCTATCTAACAAAATCCTGATTCATGGGTTTGACAGATTCCATGGCACAAAGGCAAGTGGACACATAGCTTCTCACTCTTCTTCTCTGGGAATTTCAAACAATTAGTACTTTTCTTTATCCTTATCTTGCAAAATGGTTAGTTTTTGAGTCATGTTAACTGGGTTAAGGGATGACTATGTAGTTCATAAACAATGTTCTAGGTGGATCTGTAGAAGTGTCTCTGATAAGGCTTAGCATTTTATTCATAGCCTAAGAAAGCAGATCTTCTCCCAGATGGACAGCATCATTAAATCTTCTGAAGATCCAACAGAAGAAAAAGGTAGTAAAAGCTAAATTTACTCTTTGCGGGATGACTTGAGGTAAACAACCAATTTATAACAGGGCTGGAGCCTAGACCATCAGCTCTCGGTGGGAGCTACATTGATTCTTTGTATCTCCAGCTTGAGAGGGAAGACTATAGAATTTCTCTGCTTCTGTAATCCATGAGTTAATAGTTTACATCTGACTCTCTCTTTCTCCACCCCTGCACACACATCCTATTGGAATTCTAAGTAGTAAGCTCTTATGCCTTGAAACTTTTCATTCATATCTCTGTTGCCTCCATACATTTCAAATTCAGGGTCCTAGCAAGTTACTCTGGATACAATTTACCTAACCAGTGGTTACATCTTAG